AAAAAAAAAAAAAAAAAAAAAAAAAAAAAAAAAAAAAAAAAAGAAAAATAAAGGACATGAAAATACATGCCATATGCCCAAGATTATCACTGCTTCTATGATTACAATCTGCCTTTAAGATGTTAATCACAAAACTCAAAATTCTCATATATTCCTGTAATGGACTACAAGTGGGGAGGAAAAAGGGTAAATACTAAGAATCTTAGGGGCCAGGTGCAATGGCTCACGCCTAATCTCAGCACTTTGGAAGGCCAAAGTGAGAGGGCTGCCTAAGCCCAGGAGTTCAAGACAGCCTGGGCAACACAGTGAGATCCTGTCTCTACAAAAATACACATTGCTGGCCACCTGCAGTGGCTCACACCTGTAATCCCAGCACTTTTGGAGGCTGAGGCGGGCAGATCGTCCGAGATCAGGAGTTCGAGACCATCCTGGCCAACATGGTGAAACCCTATCTCTACTAAAAATACAAAAATTAGCTGCGCATGGTGGCACATGCCTGTATCCCAGACACTCAGGAGGCTGAGGCATGAGAATTGCTTGAACCCAGGAGGTGGAGGTTGCGGTGAGCCGAGATTGCACCACTGCACTCCAGCCTAGGTGACAGAATTAGACTCTCTCTCAAAAGAAAAAAAAAGCCATATTGTTAAAATTAGCTGGGCATAGTGGCATGTACCTGTAGTCCTAATTAATATCCCAGGAGTGTGAGATGGAAGGATACCTTAAGCTCAGGATTTGAAGGCTGCAGTGAGCTATGATGGTACCACTGCTCTCCAGCCTGGGCAACAGAGTGAGACCCTGTCTCTAGAAACAATAAAAAGAAAAAGAAAATACATAAATAAATAAACTCTTAGGGAGTTGAAAGAGGATACTCGTTCCCTTACTCTACTTTAGAAAAATCACTGTGCTTCATCCCAAAGCTGTGCTGAGACAGAAAAAAGACTGAGGATTACCAGATAAATGGTTTTAAAAGATCAAGGGTGATTAAAACAACAACAAAGTACTATTAATATTATAGACAAAGAACCAAAGTGTACTAACCCAATATAAATGCCATCACTTTTTTCCGCTTACTTATATTGCTACTGAGTATAATAAAGCATTTCATT